CTCTGTGCACACACAGAAGGAAGGCCAGAGATCTCTCCCTCTTGCTCTGTGCACACACAGAAGGCAGGCCAGAGATCTCTCCCTCTTGCTCTGTGCACACACAGAAGGAAGGCCAGAGATCTCTCCCTCTTCCTCTGTGCACACACAGAAGGAAGGCCAGATGAGGACACAGTGAAAAGGCAGCCATCTGCAAGCCAAGAAGAGAGCCCTCAGCATCTTGATGGCACCTCAATCTTGGACTTCCAGCCTCCAGAACTGTGAGAAAATAAATTTCTGCTGTTTAAGCTACTCAGTCTGTAGTATTCTGTTATGGCGGCCTGAGCAGACTAACACAGGGTCTTTGTACCTACATTCCAAACTTGTTTCCACAGACACCAGCATGTTTTCTTCCCCACTTCATTCTGGACTCTGTTCAAAGTTACTTTACCAAAGGTGCCTATTCCACCCCCTATTTAAAACAGCACCCTTCCTCATCTTGGCACCTGACAACCGTCACTCTCTACTCCCTGGACCTGATACATTTTTCTACATAAAATTATCACTACTTGAGACACTGTACATGTTATTTATTATTTGGCTACCCATGACAGAATAAAAGCTTCATGATGATAAACTATTTTAATAGGAAGACAAATTTAAGAATGATTAAGTATATAAAGAAAAGAGACTTTGGAACCAGAAAAATTTGCTTTTTTTAAATCTAAACTCCAATAGTCCGTATGTATATAATATTGAGAAGCTACTCAATCTCCTTAAGCCTAGGTTGCCTCACTTATAAAAATGGAGTGTATAAGTACCTACCTCGCATGATTGTGAAACTAAGTTAAATTGGTTAGTGTATAAAGTTTTATCACATAAACGGTACACAGCATGCAATAAATGGTATCTTTATTACTAATCTGAAATGTTCTTAAAATAGAACATATTTTTCCATATACTTTAACAGGAAATACTTAGTCTTTAATTTTTTTTTGTTTTGAGCAGGGCAGGGGAACAAATATATGCTTTACGGTTTTAATTCATGGCTGATATGATCCTAGGTTAAGCTCTGAATAGTAAACTGCTTAAGGTACTTCAGAACCACATGAACTTATTTCCTTATATTATCAACCTACATGGTTGATGTAGACATGGTATTTATTTTGTTTTTTTATGTATCGACTTAGCCTTATTAACTTCTAGTTCCCCTCATCCTGCAAACCTTCTCAGGATGTTAAGTTTCCATATAAAGTTTGGCTCAGTAATAATACCCAGTAACTGCCTAATAAGTGAAAGTTTTCTTCATCTTACAATTAAAGTATAAAAACCTCACCATTAGGAAAGATTCGAATGATATTAACAATATTTAATATGCATTGGTGTAACACTAATGTATCATAAAATATTCATCAAATATCAGTATCATCATAACATCCTAACAGAGTGTTGACTCAATAGCTATCTTTTTTTTTAACTGAGTTATTTCTGAGAAATAAGCTAATGTACTGGTACAGGTGAAGGTTTTTATACTGAACTGAGTAAAACAGGACTTGACATATATCTAAGGTTAAAAAAAATTTTTAATCTTATCCCCTTTATTTACCACTTTTCAGAGTAATGATTTGGAACTCTTGGAACTCTACTCGAAAGGTAACTAATGGAGAGCTTTTTTCTTTTGGGGGCAGTATGAGGATATCATTATGAACTAATTGATTTTAATATATTCGATATATTTCAATAAATAGTAGTTATGATTCCTTTTGTGACCCAGGTAGTCCCATCATTGGTCAGTGGGAGCCCTTTTATTTTAGCTCCTGTGTTCTTTTGACATGTCCATAATAGTTTTTGATTGCTTCCATGCTTCCTGACATGACTACATGATCTAGATTTATCTCACACATTTGTGCTCCGGACCAGGAGCCAGCCATTTCACTGAGGAGCTCCAGTTACTTTTAGGGAAATAGTATTCAAAAACACCAATACGGGGACTAGGTTTGTTCACTTCTATACTAGGGTTGCTTACTGTTTCTAGACATCTTCTGTGGCTAAAGGTACAAAATACTTAGTTTCCATTTAAGAGAAAATATATAATAAGCTCAACTATTATCTCTAGTTCAAATTTAAAGTTACAGGATTTTTACTTCTTTGATTTTACTTTTGTATTCTTTTTCTCTAACACTGAGAATCTTGGTTTCTGGAGACTCTAATTGCTTATTTGCTTTATCAATATATGTGTTTAAAAATAATACTAATATTATTATTTTTAGAATATATATATATATATATATATTTATATATATTTGTGTGTGAGGAAGATTAGCCCTGAGCTAACATCTGTTGCCAATCCTCCTCTTTTTCTGAGGAAGATCAGCCCTGGACTAACATCGTGCCCATCTTCCTCTACTTTATATGGGACGCTGCTACAGCACGGCTTGACAAGCGGTGCGTCGGTCTGTGCCCAGGATCTGAACCTGCAAACCCCAGGCTGCCAAAGCAGAGTGCGTGAACTTAACCACTACACCACAGGGCTGGCCCCCAAAATAACAATACTAATATTATCAATAATAATATTACTGAATACACTTAGGATTTCTTTCCGTTTGTTTGACCTTAAAATATATCACATTAGGGATGTACAGCACAATGTTATTTTAATTTAAATTCATTTGAAATAATTTTCTATGTGTTCAAGCCATTAACTAGATATATAATGAGGCTTATTTCATTTTGTTTTTGTTTTTTAAATTTCTGATTTAATTTTGTTTTATAATCATGTAAAATGCCCCAAATTATGCAATCATGATTCTAAAGTCAAATCCATAAAACAAGATATACTTGGAGAAATTGAGCATCTATCCCTAACTCCTATACTGTTTTCTTCTCCTTCCAACTAACTACCTTTTCTAAATCAGTTTTTGGTATTTATTTCCATTTTTTAAAAAAACCTATATTCATTCTCCCATCCTTCATAAATAAAGGGTACCATACTATACACTCTGATCTGCACCTTGTTTTATTCAGTTGGTTAAAGACCTTGGAAATCACTCTACACAATATTAAATCAGCTCTTTCTCCCCTCTTATAGCTACATATGCTATAGTTTATTCAACTAGTCCCTGATTCTTTCCAATCTTTTGCTATATATTATAAATAGGACCACATTCCATATACACACACCTATGCACATGAGTCTAAACGTAGGAAAAAGATTAAGGGGAGAAACAAAAGTGGCAAGGGAATTAATTTTCACTAAGCCCTTTCTATGTGTCAAATATTTCAGTAGGCTATGCTAGGCACTTTATATGTTATTTTATTTACTCCCTCAAAAACATTATCGGGCAGGAAATATACCCATTTACAGTTCAGAGTGATTAAATTAACTGGGCCAAAGTTAGAAGGCTGGGGACAACTGGCATTTGACCTAAGTCTGGGGCCACGGTCTGTGCTTTTACTATTTAAGATGGAAAGGATGAGAATAAAGTCAGTTATTATTTTCCAACTGCATGGATAGTTTTAATCATCTACCCAAAAAACATGTTACACAACTGACACAAGAGGATGCCACACTTCTCAAATATGCTCATACTCACAATTAAAAATATATGTGAAAAATACTGGATTGATATAGGCAATACTAAAGGGAGCAAATACTTACTTGGATCATTTAGGTCTGACAGGCTTGTTTTCCTTTCTTTCAGGCTTGTGATTTTGACTCCTTTTGACCTAGATAAAATGACTTTCCCGTTAGTCTGTAAATTCTGTCTATTATCATCACAATTCAAAATAATATCCATTGGAATCTTTCCCACACTGTTGCCATAAAACTTCTTGGGGGGTACTGCTGTGTTTTGTGATTTTTGTCCTCCAGAATTCTGATGAATTGACGTTCTTAATAACGGTCCAGTAGGTTCATTCAAAGTTACAGCTTGTCTGCAATTTCTTTGCAAATCCTTAGGAAAAAGAATACCACAAGTTTGGCATTTGGTCTGATTTTCTTTATTTTCCCCACATTTTGGACAATAATCACACTGTTCAGAAAACTTAAGTCCCAAAAGAATAAAAGAGACAAAAGATTTTGGCATTTTATTTCAACATCATGAAACAACAATAACAAAAATCTCAAAATTAAGGCTCCCTCCCCATCACCAGCAGCACGGGTACCAAAATCCTGAATACATCATGTCACTTGGGAGTTACCATCAGAATGCTGGAAGGAATTTTTGAGACCATCTAGTCCAGCAAGTCTTCAAATTGGACGATGTATACTCCTCAAGGGCTATGTAAACATTTTCTAAGGCATCCAGGGCATAAATAATCTTAAAGGAATCAATATCTAGATCCTCAATTTCCATATAATCTTTCCCAAAACTGATTTGATTACACTTTTGATGTCAAGACATCTCCTGCCTCAACTGCTCTTCTCCTACAGAAAAAAAAAAGAATACTAAACCTGCCTTCCATTTGAAGTATTACAATGGTGCATTGCCTTGGGGTATAAAAACCACAAACTAAACAAAAGGATCATTTTAAAACGTCGGAAAAATGAACAGATTCTAAGTACTGGTTAACAAAAACTTTTGCAAGACAACTGATTTCTAAGACAGTGCTTCAAAAACATTTTAAGGAAGGCCTAATCTGAGTTTCTTTGCAAATCCTTAGGAAAAAGAATACCACAACTTGCGAGATCATTAAAAAATGTTTTTTGACAGTAGAGTATCATGTGACTTTGGGCATATACCTTAGAAGGAGTTCAAGGTATTAAGTGATATCACTATAATAGAACTCTTTCCATATTCATGTACTTATTTACGTGAACAAGGTTGTTCAGCGCTTACGTCTATAAGAAGGAAAAATATGAACACATGTTGAATTTTGTCTCAGTATGTAACATAATATCTATCAGTGGACACATGAACTAATTGAGAAAAACAGTCAATGTTTACTTAAAAGATGTATTTCCGGGGGCTGGCCCAGTGGCTCGAGAGGTTAAGTGCACGCATTCCACTGCAGCAGCCCGGGGTTCGCGGGCCTGGATCCCGGGTGCACCAACACACCGCTTGTCAAGCCATGCTGGGGCGGCATCCCATACAAAGTAGAGGAAGATGGGCACGGATGTTAGCCCAGGGCGAACCTTCCTCAGCAAAAAAAATAAAAGATGTATTTCTAATAATTTTACTTTTTATATCAAATATTTATCAAACTTTGTAACAATACATAGTTTTAATCAATACTGCACTACTAATAACTGAAATAATTCAATCTATTTTTTTTTTTTAATTTTTATTTATTTATTTTTCCCCCCAAAGCCTCAGTAGATAGTCGTATGTCATAGTTACACATCCTTCTAGTTGCCGTATGTGGGACGCGGCCTCGGCATGGCCGAAGAAGCGGTACGTCAGTGCGCGCCTGGGATCCGAACCCCGGCCGCCAGCAGCGGAGCGTGCACACTTAACTGCTAAGCCACCGGGCCGGCCCAATAATTCAATCTAAAAGAAAATTTCTGTAACACTTTGAGCCTTATACCACAGGAAATAAGTGGACAAGCATTTGTTGTGATCATGAAATCACAGAATGAGATGGTAATTATCATTTGCTATGGTATGTGGATACTACCAGATCTATACATGAGGAGAGAGATTTAACCATTCTATTTAAAAATATTACTCCTTTCACTGTGTCAACTATTACATCCTGTGAGATCACTTAAACTTGGGTGAAAAATGTTCAATGTTAACGTAGAAAAACATAAGAGAATACCTAGTTGTTTACAATTCTTTGAGGTCTTTTAGGTGACAGAAGTCATCAAGTGGCTGCAGGAGGACAGACTGGTAGGTGGCAGTTATATACGATTAGATGTGTACACACAAATTTCAAAATTCATTTAACTGAATGCTTAAGTTCTATACATTTTATTCCATGTAAATTTATAACTCAAAAATATGTAGAACTTATAAAAGCAAAAAAAGTCTAAAGACTATTGCTCTAGTCTTAGCTCGTTTTAAAGATGAAAAAAATGACAAATTGTTTACCTTGCCCAACATGACAAATAACAAACCCCTTCTATTATACCATGTTACCTATTCAAGGATCTACCCCAGAAAACAAAAAGGAATGAAAACCAAGCTTTAACCAGGGCAAAACTGACCTTGGTAGAACATCAGCTCACTATCTGAGCCTATGTGGATTATAAAAAAAACAGCATGTCTCTTTCTCTGCTAGTACACAGGAGAATTCAGTTATGCTATTCATGGAGTCTAGATAAAAGGAAATTATTTTTCTCACAGCACTTTCAATACGGCCCTTTGTATTTAGAATAGGTAACAGGTAACTATGCAAACAATTAGTTACATACAAATATGGGACAGATTATCTGACTCTCATATTTTAGCCTATTGCCAAAAAGAAAAGGAAATAATAGTAATTTAAATGAAACACAAACAATGTGAATGTTGGCCATGCCCCATTGCACCCGAAAGGGAAACCTACAAACAAAGGAGTAGTCCCTACCTACATACTACTCTGTGATGAAATATCTAATTCTCTAGGAAAAATCTAAACCCCACTATTTTCATGATGAACAAAGACATATTTTCACCTCTAGCTAGGTTTAATGCACCCAAAGAAGTTGAAAGATGTTCATTTATGTGGGAGATAGAGCCCTGTGTGCCACAGTGGGAGTCAGCTATATATAAGCTAACTCTGTCTTTTAAGAATCTGAGGATATGATCAAGCTGGGTAATGACTGGCTCCAAAATTTTTTTGTTTATAATAAAGATAAGTAGGACCTATTTCAATGAAAAGAACTCCATGAAAAAGAGGTACTTCCATATGTTTCCTTTCATAAAATTGATACTGAAACAGAAAAAGCATATCCCTACTATTAAAATTTCCAGTATTAAAACATAGAAGGAAATATATTGTGAGCTATTATCATATGCCTTCTATCAGCTAAGAAACATATCATGGAATTGTCTGCAACAATTAGGAACAAAATGCAGACCAGCTGAACCAAATATGATATTAAATTTTTCTTGCTAAAAAACTGAAGATTAAGAATTTTATAAACCTAGAAATCTAAAAACTAGAAATCTCAATATCGATCAATTACTGTTAGTAAAGTATGTGTAAAGTAGTAAATTTTCATAACAATTTTATGTTAAGTATAATTTCTTTTGGAAAATAAAGATTAATTGAAGTCTCATTTTCCCCCTTTTGGTCAGTGGAAGACTTTTACAAAATAAAATAAATCCAAATCACATATTATCTGCCAGTCTCTACACATAAATAATAACCAATTATACTTAAGAATAAGCCTGTCTTGAATGAGACAATGTGATTTTTGGTAAACATCGTAAAGATGTATAACCTCATTAAACATCAAAGACCTTGTTTTCTGACAAGCAGTACACAGTGTGGAATTTCATAGACGACACACTAAAAGAAAAACAACTAATCTTGTTCAAGAATTAATAACTACACAGACGGTGTCTATAATCTATTCTTTATCTCCACTAAGAATAAGAACAATTGGCATGGGAGTAAAGAGTAAAAGAAGGAAGATTTATCTTAGATACTAAAAAAATGTTTGAGGTTGTCAATTGGCATGCCCACTAGAGGAAGGATGGTGTGTTTGGGAAGGAGATTTCCTCTTTTCTCCTTTGCCTTTACCTGGGTCAAACAGTGTGCCAAGCAGTGGGGGATGCCAGTATGGCCTATAACAAGCTTAGGCTGGCATACCAGGAGACTGGTCCCATAAAAGGTAACTGAACAAATAAGTAAATGCACTGAGGGTGACAGGAGTCAGGTTTCTCACTGTCAGAGAAGGGAATTACAAACACGCAAAGTGGGAAAGGCTAAGAAGAACACTGTGATCTTGAACTAGAATTGGAATTATCAGTGTGAACTCATGGATTTTAATACGTATTAAATATTAACACATACACACACATATATTTCCTAGCTTTGTGCACTGAGAGGGCCTACACCGATGACACTCAGTAGCAATAAGCATAACTAGTCCCCATATATCTTCCCTCCACTTAAAGGAACAATGGCTCTTTGGAGAAATGCATGACTACAGATGAGACAGACAAAGTGCAAACAAGTCTAGATCACCTGGTTATACCAAAAAGTAAGAAAGTACTCAAAGAATGATAGGGATATGTCAAAAACAAAGAGGAGCCAGCCTGAAGAACTTCCCATGGGCCAAGTCTGGGACAATTTGAGCATCAAAATAAATAATGATATTTATAGAGTATAACCTTTTTGAGTAAAATAAGAATCTACATGTCTAGGGCCGGCCCTGTGGCTTGGTGGTTAAGTGCGCGCGCTGCGATGCTGGTGGCCCGGGTTCGGATCCCGGGTGCGCATCGAGGCACCACTTCTCCG